AAATTGAAATTTCAGAGAAAATTGATCTCAATTAGTCAAGGCACATAAGTTATGGGCTAGAGAAAATTACACACAAGCAGAAATAATTTTATGGACAGAGAAAATTATGAAACAATCAACATAAGTCAGATATCAGATAAAATCAATTAGGGCATATAAGTTAATGTGTTACAATTGTGGTCAGAGAAATTTGGATTCCAGAGAAAATTCATTACAAGAACAGAAATAAACCAGTGGTAATCAAAGAAGAAACATAAATTGAAAGTTCAGAGAAAATTGATGTCAATCAGTCAAGGCATATAAGTTATTCCATACAAGATATTGCATCATAGAGAAAATTGATCTCAATCAAGCAAGGCACAATGAGGGAAACAAACCAGTGGTCAGAGAAATTTTGGAATTTCATTGAGACTTCAGTGGCGATAGAAATCTAACCTGTCGAGGTACAAGAGAGTGGATTGGTGTCTTCTACGACTGTTTAGTCAAGCTTTGCAGGTTCCACTTTGCACATCTTGGGAATTCTGTTGTTCTACTGTCTTCCGAGTCAACGATAGTCGCATGTTTGCATAGCCAATACTATGATGGAAATTGAAATAATTAAATTTTGCTAAACACACAAATTTGTAAGTATCATAACTGTAAATTCTACTTACTAGCAATGCAATGACGCACCCCGTAACTTTTTCCAGAGTTTTGTGCAATGCAGTGATAGAATCGATTAATGTTGCTGTGATTGTTTCTGGCCAATCATACTACTTCATTGATTCAAGAGGTTCTACGTACTTGATAAAAACCCATCCTACTGAATTCCCACTGGTTGCAAAAAATAGGGTGAGACACAAGTACAAGGTAACAATGATTGCTACATCTTTAAAGTCAGTTGGTTGCTTGCCTTTCATTGTTTTGACCAAGGCATTCTCAAGAAAAATGACTAGTGGGCCTCATGTCCTTTGGGAATCTTCGCCTTAGGAATGCAGTATTTGGCTTTTTTGAGTATCTTAATGACATGGCTCCTTTACCACATTGCAGACCAAAAATCAAGGTCATGCCATTGGTTGTCAAGGTCAAGTTCTTTTTACCAACTGTGAATGCTTTCAATTTTTCATTGTAACGTTAGATTATTGCGACTACATAATCAACAGATTTCCTAGACTTCCTTGGATCCATCCTTCCAGTGCTTAGAGCTTGGATCAAATACCAAAATGGAGTCTTTTGAAGCTTTTCAAGTTGCTTTGAATTGAACTTAAGTGCTTGAAAAAAGTAGACAACTGATGAGAGATTGGATCGGTATTGAATGCTGTAATGAGCTTTCTTTCTTTGGAGTTTAACAGGTTTTTCCCCGTTGAGCTTGAGTCTTTTGCAGTTGGGGTATTCATCTTGATGCTTGTTGCTTAATCACCTTGGACTTTTGTTTTTTGGCGAGAAATTTGTGGTGTTTTGCTACTTTTTGATCTAAGATCATAAAAAGATTGAAACAATTTATGTTTCTTTCTTGGTGTTTCTGGTGTTTTGTGGCTTTCACGTTTCGTCATTTCTAGAGAATGAAAATATAAAGATGTCAACATTAAATCTTAGAGAAAATTGAACATGCTAGAGAAAATTAAACATGTTAGAGAAAATTACACATAAGGGAGAAAATTAAGATGGCCAGAGAAAATTATAAATGTCAGAGAAATTTAGACACTGAAAATTAAATGTTAGAGTACTAATAAACATGGCAAGCTAGAGAAAATTTTCATTCCACAATTAGCAAGATAAACATGCCGCAAAAACTTACAGAACAAAGAAACCAAGAATTGAACAAAATAAACATACCAAAGAAAATTACACATGGCAAAGAAAATTAAATATGGCAAGCCAAAGAAAATTTCCATTCCATAATATGAAATTGCCAGAGAAATTACAGAAAAGCAGAGAAAATTAAACATGACAGACACACACAAGGGAGAAAAGTGATGTAACCAGAGAAAATTATAAATGTCAAAGAAACATAGACACAAACAAGAGAGTAAAATTACATATAGATGTAAAATATAGTCAGAGAAAATTTAAGAAAGAAACATAAATCTAGCAAAAATAAGTTCAAAACTTAGAGAAATAACATTTTTCAAATTCATATAACTTTTTATTACGAAATTGAAACCCTAATTAATGGAAGGCTAATATAATATGCAATTAATTGTGTTTCTAGAGAAAAACTTGTTGGATTGTAGAAAACTTACTAGAGTGATGATGAAATTCTAATTACGAATTGATATGCCTTGAGATGAAGATGCAATGAGATGAAGATGAACTGAGATGACGATGAACAGTGCAAACGGGTTAGAGAAATTTGTGAGGAATGAATGGAAAAGATTTTAGCAGAAGATAATACAATCGTAATGTCGATAGTGAAGATGATTGTGAAACCCTAATTATGTTGTTCTCTTGCTCGTGAAGATGGTTGGATGTTTAGAATGGAACTAAGTCATTGGAATCCAGTGGAGTTGTAACAACTCAGATTTTAATTATTTTGTAAAATTTATACTAATATTATTTAATTACAGTTGAAAAAATATATGATTTATTTTGTATTATTATATGTAATTTTATAAAATAATATAATTAGTTAAAGATTTGGGTTTAAATATAATTAAGGAACTATTGAAACTTATCCATTGGAAGGATAAGCTCAAATCTTAAGTGTAATAACGGTTGAGATATAGGAAGGCTACGTGAGTGCCACGTGTCACTCCAAAACGTGTTAAGCAAGTGTTGCCTGATTAGTATACTAGTGGGTGGCACACACGATGTGTGTGCAATTTAAATAAGTAAGAATAAAAAAAAATAATAATGAAATTAATATTATAATGTGTATTTAGCTTAAGTGGTATGAGTCCTCGTACTTTCAAGCCTTGTCCATCTCTTTGTTTAACTTTTTTTTAAAAAATAAAAAATACTGCCATATGGCATGAGGAGAGTAAAGCTTCAGGACACCATAAGAGTTATGTGTTCACTTTATAATAGTATAGATAGATAGATAGAAGATAGATAGATAGATAAGGAGGTGATTCACCTTGGAAAAAAAAAAAAGGAAAAGGAAGAAAAAAATGAGGGAAGTCGAAAGAGTCTTTGATAGTGGAAAGGAAGAATAATGTATTAAGTTAAAGTGAGTTTTATTATATAAGGTATTAAGTTAAAGTGAGTTTTATTATATATTGAGTCACTAAAATATATTTTACTTATGTTTTGACTTACCATATTTATTTTATACAAGTTATGTTTTATAAACTATTATAAATTATATAAATATTTCAGTTACGTGGTTTAATTTCTGAACCCTATTTGCTTAAAATGAAATCCATGGATATATTTTTTTTACTTTTAAAGAATATTTGACTATGACCTTATAAATAATTATGTTTTGTAAGTACCACCACGGGAGTCCCACGCCTTGGGGACTTAAATAACCATTGGCCTCTGTTTGACCACTCTGTGGTCCCCTGTTTGTCATGGATTCATTAACTCCTGTTCTGATTGTCACTCTAGTAACCCATGTTTTGTTCTGTACCGTGATTATAGTTGGTTACGTAATTTCTATATTATACGCCAAATGATTTCCGTATTATATGTTATGTGTTTTAATATTAAGCTCTGTTTAGCCAATAATTATCCATGGTGAATTTTATGCCCTTATGCTCTTAGTATAATATTTCTCACTCTGCCATATGCTTATAGTTGTCTACTACTTTCAGGTGACATGTCAGGACTAGCGTGTGGGGTAGGCACAAAGCACTTTGTAGACATAGTTCAGCTCTGACAATGTAATTAATAAAAGCTCCAATGATTATTTTAGTACTCTCATTAAATATTTTTTCGCTCGCATTTAGTAATTGTTTAAAGAATTGGCCGGAGGTAACCTCAGTTACTGGCCAACACGATGCTTAACCCTTGGGTACAGGGAGCGGGTCGCGACAAGTGGTATCAGAGCAATGGTTTATTAAAAAAAAAAAACATCATTAAAGCATAGGACACATGCACATTTAAGAAGTGGGATAGCGGTAATTAGTACCTAAATATTATAATTTATTAGTCGATTTAATTATATTATAATTTTATATGATTTTATATATATATATATATTATTTTTTTTTTGTGTATCATTTGTGAAGGATAATAGATATAATTTATATTTGTTATAGCAAAAGAAGGAAAATAAATAAAGGATGTTGGGCTCAAGCACCCATCAAAATTATAATATAATTAAATATATAGAATTTCCAATTCAGTATTAAAAAAAAATTATTTTGACTTTTTAAAAAAAAAGTGGATTCAAATTTTAAAAATACTAATTTTGAAACTATTTCCTATCAATGAAAAGTTCATCTCAATTTTTTTCAACTCTTACATATGATTCTGTCATTGTGTTCTCAGTTTATTTTATTTTTATTTTTATCGTAAACAATACGAGTGAAAATTTTTTAAAGTCACCCATTATTTCTTATTTTAGCCCAATTCAATTTTTGACAACTAGACAGCGAGTTGATTTTGTAAAAGTTTTTTTTGAGATAATATTTTCTATCAGATTAATCATCTAATATATATTTATCAAAGTGCGCAGCGGATAGCCTATACATGTGACAAATTTCGAGGATGAAATTTTAAAAGGAAGGAAGATTGTAACAACTCAAATTTTTAATTATTTTGTAAAATTTATACTAATATTATTTAATTACAGTTAAAAAAATATATGATATGTTTTGTATTATTATATATAATTTTATAAAATAATATAATTAGTTAAAGATTTGGGCTTAAATATAATTAAGGAACTATTGAAACTGATCCGTTGGAAGGATAAGCTCAAATCTGAAGTGTAATAACGGTTGAGATATAGAAAGGCTACGTGGCGGTTGAGATATAGAAAGGCTACGTGGGTGCCACGTGTCACTCCAAAACGTGTTGAGCAAGTGTTGCCTGATTAGTATATAAGGAGGTGATTCACCTGCAGAAAGAAAAAAAAAAGAAAAAAAAAAAAAAAGAAAGAAGAAAGAAAGAAAAAAGATAAAGAAAGGGAAAATGAAGAAAAAAATAAGGGAAGTCGAAAGAGTCTTTGATAGTGAAAATGAAGAGTAATGTATTAAAATTAAGGTGAGTTATATTATACATTAAGTTATCAAAATATATTTTACTTATGTTTTGACTAACCATATTTATTTAATACAAGTTATGTTTTATAAACTATTATGAGTTATATAAATATTTCAGTTACGTGGCTTAATTTCTGAACCTTATTTGCTTAAAATGAAATCCATGGATATGTTTGTTTTACTTTTAAAGAATATTTTACTATGACCTTATAAATAATTATGTTTTGTAAGTACCACCTCGGGAGTCCCACGCCTTGGGGGACTTAAATAAGCATTGGCCTCTGTTTGACCACTCTGTGGTCCCCTGTTTGTCATGGATCCATTGATCCCTATTCTGATTGTCACTCTAGTGACTCCTGTTCTGTTCTGTACCGTGGTTATAGTTGGTTACGTAATTTTTATCTTATACGTTAAATGATTTCCGTATTATATGTTATGTATTTTAATATCGAGCTCTGTTTAGCCAATAATTATCCATGGTGAATTTTATGCCCTCATGCTCTTAGTATAATATTTCTCACTCTGCCATGTACTTATAGTTGTTTACCACTTTCAGGTGACATGTCAGGACCAGCGTGTGGGGTAGGCACAAAGCACTTTGTAGACATAGTTCAGCTCTGACAATGTAATTGAATAGAAACTCCAATGATTATTTTAGTACCCTCATTTAAATATTTTTCCTCTCGCATTTAGTAATTGTTTAAAGAATTGGCCGGAGATAACCTCAGTTACTGGCCATCACGATGCTTAACCCTTGGGTACAGGGAGCGGGTCGTGACATGAGTGTTCTTAGTTGATTTGTGAAGGGTATTTTGGTCCAAGAAAGAGTTAAAAATGTGCGCCTTCTAGTTGAGGGACTTGATGCATCATCTTTTTTTTTGGTGTTCTGTATCCTCCAAATTACTATTATTAGGGACCTTAAAAAAATTCCCCTATAAAATTCAACAATCATAGAAACAAAGTTTTTTACCTATCATTTAATGGGACTTAAGGCATGGTTTGGTTTTGTTTGGTTTGGTTTATATAAAATATATTTATTTAAATTAAGTTTTAAAATTTTGATTATAACTATGCAATGTGTTTTTAATTTTAACACAACATAGTTGAATAATAATTTTGATTATAAGAAATTAATCAAAATTTTAAATTCAATTTGTTTAAAAATTCTATGAAACTAATAACATAATTGAAATTAACTATTGAATAATAATTAAGTAAAAAATATGTTTATTGAATTTGTGTTCTTCAAATGGGTCCAAAAGACCCTATATACAATTAGTTTTCGTTATATATATAACGACTATTATGAGTCGAAAATAAAGTAGTTTATTTGTATATTTATTAAGAAATTTGAGATTCATTTGCTTGAAATGCTCCTTTGTATAGATGATTTTTTATTGTGAAAGAGAAACTTATCATTTAAAATTTTATTAGTGTACTCACTACATATATGCAAAGAAATAAATTTAAACCTATGAAGATCTCAAATAAAAGATAAAAATCTAAACAAAAATGTTATACATAATTAAGTTTAGTTATATTTGGATTTAAATCGAGCATCTTCCTTATTTATTACAACAAAATAAAACACATAAATTAATATAATTGAAGAAAAAAATATAATGAAAAATAAATGGGATTGAACAAAAACTTCCTTCAAACTTGTGAATGTGTTCCAAATACTCTTCTCGATTGGGAAAATTTTTCTAAAAAAAAAAAAATGTGTGAACTCCAATCGCATCGGAAAATATCAATCTTTGTGTTAGTCTTTTAACCTTGTGTTGTCACTATTACTTTTTTCCTCTACATTGTACTTGTGAAGATTTTTAAAAATGAACAATAGATTTTGAAGGTTTAATCACATCTATTGCATTATTCTAATTTCAACAACTAGCTAGGATTATGAAGAAAAAGAATTAAATACACTAAATGAACTAAAACTATAAAAAAAAAAACAAAAAAAAAATCTGTAAAAGAAAAAAGAGAACAAAAAATATAATATGAGATTTCAAATATGTGTTTCTTTTAATATAAGATGCCAAAAATCTTGCATATAACTTGTTTAATTTCTTTGCAAGATTCCTTCTCTTCTCTAATCTTTTGCCCAATTTAATATTGTTATAGAAGTTGAGTTTTGAGATTTATAAGTTTAATTTTTTGTGAAATATCTTTGGGTAAAATATAAATCTGATGAAGGAATTAAAATTAAAGTCAAACTGATCTTTTATCTCTAAAATATTTTGAAAATCTCTTATTCATTTCGAATTTGAATTTTGAGTATATTTTTCATTTAAAAGTCATAAAAGGATATAAATGGATTAATTACTATATTTTTAAAATGATTCGATAAAAGGTAGTTAATAGAAGATTTTTTAATTATTTAAAAAATAAGAATTCTAAAAAAATAGTATTAGAGTTTTAAGTTGGAAAATTTATCTAAAACCCATCCATTGGAACATTGTTTAGTGAAAATCATAAACCAATTTATTTTTCTTTATGAACCCGCTAAGAGAAAACACATAATCGAGTAAGAACAAAATAAAATATATTTTTTTCTTAGACAATATTGCCAGAGTAACATGTTACCATTACTGTTTACATAAATTTCGACAGTAATTTTTTTTTTCTTTTTTTTAAGAATTTCATAGTCAACATGAATCTTATTTGATAGACCTTAATGAGAGGATTCTAAAAAGTTATATTATTTTAAAGCTAATAGTTGTGTGTGTTAAACTTTTCAAGAATTTTTTTTTATACTTATCCTTAATGTATTAAAGTTTTATTATAAAGGGGTTTTGATCAAATCTTTTTTTTTTAAGTTTCATAAGAATCTTCCCATAGAAACTCTATTACAAATTAATTATTAGCATAAATAAATGAAAGTAATATATATTTATATGTATATATTATTGACATTTAGCCACACTTTATAAATTATTTTGCTTCATATGCCTTAGTTGTCAAGCTTTCATTATCACCTTTTAACAATAGTGATAACTTGACAAGGACTTGGCCACATAGTCGCAAGGACATGACAATCCTCAAAATTTAGGAGGTGTTTGACTCAAGAATTTTGAAAAAAATTTAGAAAAGAAAAATATAAATATAAATAAAATGTGAATAAAATATATTTATATTTTATTTATTTTTACATTTTTTTTTGACATTTTCAAATTATTTTCTAAATGATTAAACAAAATCTATATATTATATAAGGAAAAAAATGTTTTTAGTGAGAAACTTTGTAAGAGTTTCAATATCTCATACTAATTTTCTTGATTTTTTTAATTTTAAATAATTAAGAAAATATCTATTGGCTAGCTTTTATTTGATAATCTCACATCGGGAAAAGAAGGAAAAAAATGAATTGTTTTATTCATATAAAGGGAATCTTATACTCCCATCTCATTTAATAAGGAGTCTTGTTAGAGTTCAATATCTCATACTGATTTTTTTGATTAAAATTAAGAAAATCTCCATTTAATACTTTTATTTGATAATCCCACATCGAGAAAAGAAAGAAAAAATTAGTTATTTTACTCATATAAAGTGAATCTTATACTCCCATCTTATTTAATATTGTAGTATTGTGCATGTTTCGATTCAATATAATTTAAATTTTAAAAATTTTAATTAATTAATTATTACCTAGCCGATATCTCATACTAATTTTCTTGATTTTCTTAATTTTAAATAATTAAGAAAATTTCTATTGACTAGTTTTCATTTGATAATCCCATATCGGGAAGAGAAGGAAAAAAAATGAGTTATTTTACTCATATAAAGAGAATCTTATACTCCTATCCCATTTAGTAAGGAGCCTTGTTAGAGTTTCAATATCTCATTCTAATTTTTTTGATTTTCTTAATTTTAAACAATTAATAAAATGTTCATTGACTAACTTTTATTTGATAATTCCACATTAGGAAAACAAGGGGAAAAAATGACTTATTTTACTCATATAAAGGGAATCTTATACTCCCATCCTATTTCATATTATAGTGTTGTGCATATTTCAATTCAATATAGTTTAAATTTTAAAAATTTTAATTAATTAATTATAACCTAGCCGATTTTAGATTGATTTCATTTCATTTTTTATTTGATTGATTTGTTAGTTTAACTGCGATTTTAACGGTTTTATCAAAATATATTGATTAGATTTGTTTGATTCGAAATAAACTAAAGATTGATCTGATTAAAGATTGAAAGACTGAGATTACTTGATTAGAAATAAACTTTCCGCCCAAATAATTGTTAACTTCTATTTTATAATCCCACATCGAAAAAAGAAAAAAAGAAAAGAAAAGAAAAAAAAGAAGTGAGTTGTTTCACTTATATAAAGTGAATCTTAATAGTGTAGTATTGTGTATATTTCAATTCAAGGTAGTTTAAATTTTAAAATTAAAAAAAAACATTTAAAAGTTTTAATTAATTAATTTTTGTATAAGTTAGTTGGTCATTTGATCTAACCGATTAGGCCGAACTGTTTTGGGTTTGACCAATTCGCCGGTTTAATCGTGATTTCTCATATGGCTAACTTCCATTTAACCATATAAAAATAAAACTCTAATTAGTTTATGATTTATTTTATGATCCCACATCGGGAGTAGAAGAAAAAGCAAAGTTTGTTTCACTATCTATCTATATATTATACAAGGGAAATGAGATTTTTAGGGAAAAGCCTTCTAGGAGTTCAAGCCCATATTCTAAAATTATTGAATTTTCTTAATCTTAAATAATTAAGAAAATTCCTGTTGGCTAGCTTCTATTTACCTTTTATTTTACAATTTCACATCGAACAAAGAAAGAAAAAGTGAATTGTTTCACTTATATAAAATGAATCTGATACTCTCATATTCATTTTTTTTGATTTTCTTAATTTTAAACAATTAAGAAAATCCCCATTGGCTAACTTCCATTTAAATTTTATTTTACAATCCCGTATAGTTTTAATTTTAAAAATAATTTTGTATGAGATTTTGAAACTCTCATAATATTTAACTTAAAAATAATTGTAATTCCACATCGAAAAAAGAAAGAAAGAGTGAGTTGTTTCACTTATATAAAGTGTTACAACCCCACATCAGAAAAAGAAAGAAAAGTGAGTTATTTCACTTATATAAAATGAATCCCATAAAGGGAGAAGTCTTCCAAAAGCTCAATTTACCTTTTAAGAAAATTCTCATTAGCTAGTTTCCATTTATCTTTTATTTTACAATCCTAAATCGGGGAAAAAAAAGGAAGAAGTGAATTGTTTCATTTACATAAAGTGAATCTTATACTCCAATTTATATAAATTATTGAAATTTCTTAATTTTAAACAATTAAGAAAATTCCAATTGGTTAACTTTCATAACTTTCATTTAACTTTTATTTTAAAATTCCAAATCGGGGAAAAAAAGGAAAAAGTGAGTTGTTTTATTTACATAAAATGAATGTTATGCTCCAATTTATATAAATTATTGAAATTTCTTAATTTTAAACAATTAAGAAAATCTCCATTGGTTAGTTTTCACTTAACTTTTATTTTACAATCCCACATCGGAAAAAGAAGAAAAAAGTAAATTATTTCATTTATATAAAGTGAATCTTATGTTCCCATTTATATAAACAAAAGAAAAGTTTTAGTGAGAAGCCTTATATTCAATACTATTTTTTTTTTAATTTTCTTAATTTTAAACAATTAAGAAAATATCCATTGGTTGGCTTCCATTTAATTTTTATTTTACAATCTCACATAGACATTTTGATTTTAAAAAAAATTTTGTTTGTGATTTTGAAACTCTCATAATATTTCATTTTAAAATAATTACAATCTC